CTCAAGAAAGTCTTCTTGACACTTCAGCCTAGGGTAACAAAAATTTCTAGAAACTAATCCTCATTGAAATTGCCAATGTTCAGTGAACACCATTTTACTGACATGCCTGTAGGATCCTGTACCAAAGTTCAGATTCTTATCTTAAAATGGTGAAACTGGCACAGCATACCTCTACTAGCATAGATGTTATCTACAAAAAGATCACTCGGTGTATACACAATAGAAACCTAATGAGAACTTTTCTTCTCTGTTTGTGATTCAAACCACCCTTACACAGAGGAGACAGAATAACACAGATTGTATGTCATAACTACAAAGGTCTTGTAGGTTATTCAACGTACATACTGTACAGTATGTCTCCTTCCACTGATACAGTTCAACCTGAGATTATAAGGAACCCCTGTAATACACATAACATCTTACTATTGCCCAAAGTTTTTGATGCATCTCAAAGGCACCAAAAAACCTTCCAACCGGGCCAATACTGTATTAACATTTACGTATTAACAGACTAAGAAGAAAACGAAATATTACAAGGATCGTAACTCATGATGTTCTTGAAAAAAAATTAGTCATAACTGAAGATGTGAGTATTGGTATAAAGTTCATAATAGGTATGTTACACCCTCAGAATGTATGAAAATGTCTAAATACAACCATTATATATCATAAGCACTCCACCTTCTCAATTCTGATGAGCCCTGCCACTCACGCTTAAATAAAAACGCACATGAACGCAGGCGTGGGCTGCGGTACAGACATACTTGTCACATGGGTGATGATCTCAACAAAATGAAAACCCTTTTCATTTGCCAAGCACACCAAATACACTTCCCCTACATTTCCCCACCTATCTACTGATAAGTGAATGAATCTGATTGAACTGATACGTGTAATAATATGAACAGTTCTGCAAAAAGCTCTGAAGTACTTCCAGTTGTTTGATAGGAATTATGAGGACTATACGGAATAGAAGGTGGCACATACCCATTTTTTTGGCTCCAATTTGGGATGCCCTGTCTGACATCTTGCCTCAATTCCAAACTTCTGTTTATATCATATTTCACTGTCTTAAGTTGCCCATATATTTCAGTGTATCTTTAGATGGATGACAGGCAGACACAGATGACAGACAAATATACATTACAATGATGACACGAGTGCAGTTTCATATTGAACAAAGCAGACTTCCCATTTTATGTAGTATTTGAGCTCTTTGACTATAAAAACAATAAAAAATCCCTCCCTCATTTTCTGATCAACTTTTCTCCTGTATACTGCTGAGAATAAGATTTTAAAAGTTGGACAATTTAGTTAGGCAGGACTTTGTAAGATATGAGACCATGAAAAATTATATCCATTTTTTGAATTTGTTCCTTTTTAACCTAGTCTTAATTTAAAAAATCATACAGAAAGATAATTTGTTTTTAAAATCCACTATTCTGTAATGAGAGCTAGAGTACAGAGACTTAGTTTATGAAGGTTAACAAACGTTTGGGTAGTTGAGGTAATCTCTCAGTTTTAAAATTTCATTTCATAAAAAAGCTTCAAGAACAGTATGACTTGTTCATATTCCAATACAATTTAAAAAAAAAAAAAAAGGCACCTTAGATTAAGCTCCTCATCGTAAATAGTCTTCAGCCTGCAAAATTGTCGTTATGATCTGACTGTATTTTTAAGGGAGACTTCACTGAGAGTTCACTAAAGCTCCAGGATTGCAATCCCGGAGAGATTCAAGTCCTAGTGCAGTTTTACCATCGTCTTCCCCTCTCCGTAAAGCAGCATAGTTGATCAGACAAGCCATGGCCCTCCTTCCAGCTGCAACCTCTTCAATAAGCACTTTCTCAAATTCCAAGCCCTCAAAAAGCAGGTATTTTTTATAGGCATAGGTACACAGAAGTGGTTATATGTTGCCCTAAGATGGCCAATTGATGAAAGAAATCAAATGCCCCATCCACTCCATTTACACCCTAGTTCCCCGTTTGACAGACCCTACTCCATACCGCGGCACCTCTAAGGTAGCGTTGTTACCAGATTTTCCCAAGCAGCCCATTCATCTCAAAGCCATTAACTCTCCTGACGCTTGTGCCTCCAAGCACCTGCAGGCAGGGAGAATGAGGGGTCTCTGCTGAACAGAATAAATGCACCTCATTGCCCAGAGTCAGGGAAAAATTCATGGATTGCAAGTGTGAGCAGCGATGTGACACGAACCCTCACTCGGCCAGAGAAATAAGCCACACGGTGCTTATTCAAGCTCGCACGGTGACTGTGCAGAGTCATATGCTCTTCCCAAACAGGCACACACCGCAGAAGTAACAGCCAGTGCAGAATTTATGAATTCTTGAGTATGCAAGAATATTCTTCCCTCTCCACAGTATGCAGCTGAAGTACTTTGGAAACCATATGCCATAAAGAGATAATTTATTGTCAAAATGCAAATCTTCAGAATATCTGTCTATGGGGCCTCTCCATAAATTCGCATCAAACTGTCAAGGCTCAGGCTTAAAGCACAGCATAACCATGTCGGACAGCGTTTCAGCTGCTTTCCAGATTCTCCGGTATTCTGGATACTGTCCAAGTAGTAATTAATAGAGCCAACACATTCCCAGTATTTGGTGTTGATTCTGAATGGCACAAAATTGTCTCCTCTGAGAGTACTGAAATGCAGAACACACGAAATCACATTGGACACTTTCAGATGTGGGACTTACACAATATTTGCTGCGGATAATAAAAATCTCATCAGCCCTTATTCAACCTGGATAATAACAATCTATTTTCTGTCAGAGCCAGGGCCGTTTTAAAAAAACATGCCATCTCCTCCACTTATGAAAAGAAAAAACATGCCATCTCCTCCAGCTACTTCTACAAAGCTTTATTTTACAGCAGTATCAAAATAATGTAAATAATACACTGGAAGCACCATGATGCAATATGAGCTTCATATAATCCAGTTACCTCCCATCAAATCACTGCAGAAGGGAAAATATCTGCACTTTGTGTGGTGCTTACAAAACAGTCAACAGAGGGGCAAAGCCCTGTGTTTATTTCTGGAAGATCTACACAGGAATGGTAGCAGAACTAATTTGTCTGGCTCCGTGCCTCACCTCCTGCAAGACCACAGCTAAAAGGGTCATTCGATCCATTATACCCCTGCAACGTCCTGCCCGCTGAGCTTGCCCACAAGGATGCCAATTCATGCCTGGTAAACAGCCTTGCTTGCTCATTCCCACCACGCAAGAAGCCACAGCTTCACCAGCGCACTCGGATAAAGTTTTGACAACTTCAGTGTCCTCTCCAGAAGCGCCATGCAAGCATTTCCAACAGCGCTTCCAGTGCTACCCATCTCTGCGATGCACAGCCACACAACCGAGCAAGGCATTATCAGATATTCTCACATTATCAAGTCAACCAGGAGAAGACAATGCTGTGAGGAAAGATCTGTAGCAGTTGTTGTCACAGAGGTGACACAGATGTGAAGGGAAAAGGGAGAACTGTAAAGAGAGAGGAGTGCCTAGAAAGCATTCAAATATGATTGATTGTGTTTTGCTTAAGAGGAGACTATTTTTTTTTCTCATTTACAGCTCAAAAAGAACACCAGTTTGCTGCATACCCAGCTTTTATTTATTCATACCCAAACATAGCCCTTTGCACAGGGGCACGTATTACCAGACCCTGAGGCTAAGCCTTAGCAGCCCAAGTGTTAGTTTTATCGAGCTACCATAATCCTCCTGACTTCTGAAAATCAGACTGTTAGTCCATGCTTTATACAAACCTTTAAAAACATTAATATCTAAGTGTTGTTTTACAGATGCCCAAGTATCTCAGGGATAGCCCATGAAAAGGATCTAAAATAAATTGTCCATGATCTTAAATTTACTTCACACACGGAAGATTTTTAGGGCTCAGTGAAATAACAAATACTAATGTGTTTGGCTCAGGTTTTGACCTTGCAAAATTAGTTAGTCCCTCTAGCCTTTTACAGGAGAAGCTAATAACATTAAAAAAAAAAAAATACTCTCTGCAACTGCATTTAAGTAAATCACCTAACTACTGGATATGTAAATGAAATAAATACTTTTATTTCTCCTACTAATTGAATACAGGAAGTACACAATTTTCAAGTGGGGCTTTCTTGTTCCAATACCAGATACCAGAACTTCATTACCTAGTTGTAATTACTTCCTCTTCATTACGTAGTTTATAGGTCAAGAGGGAAAAGGCGGCTACGGTTCCATGATGGTTAATACACACGTGGCACTCAGCAGCACAAGTGATGTTGCTTAGGCAAGGACACATGAGTGCATCTTTGCTGAATTAGCCAAGTATCTTCGTATCAGCTTTTGCTAGCTTTATAGAGGAGAGCATAAAGCATGCCAGCACAAGTTTAACCTACCAGGAATTTTGCAATGCATTTGAACCATCAGAAAGAATTCATATCCCACAGAAATTCTGTAGTCAAACAATGAGATTTGAAGAGAAAATAAAGCGGAACCAGGAGGGGAGAAGAGGAGGAAAAGGGAATGAATGGTGGCAGGTGGTGGAGGGGAACCAAATCCTAAACAATCAGGTTAGGCAGAAAACAACTCTTGAAGCAGGGAGAGCCAAAACAAGGGAAGAGGCAATCTTCCAAGTATGTTTGGCTTATTTAGGAATATAGCCGTATGGTATCAGGTGACACGTAAAGCAACGAGCTCATTTCTGTAGCAAAGTGGTGGCACTAAGAGTCAGGGAAAGTAACATTCCAAGATACTGGGTTAAGTTTCTTGCAAGAAACAAACTGGGTTGATTTCTCCTTATACTTCTTTATATCCTTAAATAACCTCACAATGTGAGCCCTGTTCTCCCCTCCCACCCTAGAAAGCGATAAACAGCACTCACTCTTGCTACAAAAATAAAAAAATATATTAAAAAAAAAACCAAAACACACCACACAGTCATGGTACAAACCAGCTCTTGTGAAAGGGAACAAGGAAAAACACAACAGCATTGCTACTTACATTCTTGTATTGCTGGTCTTGTTGATAATTACAGATTTTCCAGTCTGATCCACATTGTGATCCATTCCAAAGTAAGCTGCCACTCTGTGCACTAACATCCTCTGATACGACGACATCTGAGGGAACTTTTTATAGTGATTACTGGAAAAAAAGACGACAAATCACACTGATAATTACATTTCCCTCTGAGCTATAATTAAATGAAAATAGCAATACATTCGATAATTCAGTGGACAGAAATCTAACAGAAAACTTCTCCTTTGTGTATTTACATATAAATGTTTGCTACAAGAAGGCAGAAAAAAGAAAGGAACTATTTTTAGCGCATTTCCATGCGCTACATTGGGACAAACAAAGCTCATGCTTCATGGTATTGACCAAGTATTCTGTACATTGGGAAGAACTCATCCCCTGACACCGCACACACGCTCACGCTCCCTGCGCAAACAATCCTGCAGATTTGCTGAGGTACTGGCAACAGCTTTCTGCCTTTCTGCCAAAGGTCAGCTGCAGGGGCATGCCAGAAAGATCTAGTTTGGCAAATACTCCTTTTTTCTCTCGTACTGAAAAAATGCTTATTTCCCATCGGCATAATTTTTTCCTCTGCTGCTATTCTGACTCTCTATTTTTTAAAGCTGCAGAAACATTTTATTATCAAGAGCACGTGGTAGCAAGAATCCCTCCACCCAAGTTCAGTCTTATTTTCCAACGCATTAGAATAACATAGCACGCAGGGAGACCCGCGAGGTAGCATATTTGATCATCCTCTGCACTGAAAGCTTTCATTGTATTTTTGGACCTAAATGAGCGGAGTCAGTGCAATTACGACACAACGAAAAGCAAAAGGTTTTCATTTATATCTACGGTATTTTAAGCAGTACTACCATGTGTCAGGAAATAAAAGCCTGATCTTGCAGTGTGCCAGTAACAGTGCTCAGGAGCACTGTGGTCCATATGAGTGTATCCCTCACACAGCTCACATTGCTACATACATACGTGACTTAATAACCAAGTGTGGAACTCGACTTACTTGTTGTCACTAATAAAATCAATAATTTCCTGTTCCATTTTCAAGAGTATCATTCTGTCCCTGTCAAAAAGAAATGCAAGGATTTGTAGCATTAACTACCAATAGACATTTTAGATTAAAAAATGAATATATCAATGTTTGTAAGGCAATTTTGCAAGCGTTGTCAGCCATCTTGGTTAAAAATGAAACGTGCTTTGCCCTGGTGCATCTGCAGAAGACTGCAGCCTGCTTTGATGCACCTTTGCTGACATACGTGACAGATTTAGCTCTTCCTTGAGCTCAGCTACGGTGTGAGAGTGCTTCAGCCACGCCAGGCTGTCATCAACGGCTTGCATAGAAAGGCTCTGACTGGTATGGATAGCTTTGGTCCTTTTTCACCCTTTTTTTGATGGAAAATGAGATTTCCAGCTAACCTAGCTCTTTCATGAGAAGAGCTGCTACCCACAGAAATTTTCAACATCTTGTCCGAGACATATCTTCCATGAGGCATTGACTTGCAGGCAAGAAGACTGGGCACATTTAATCTAGTTAGAGAGCACAATGGAGGACAACGCCTTTGAACTATGGCTCCCAGGAGGCAATGCCACAGTCAGAATGCTCTGTTTTCAACTGGAATGTCTCACATGTTCCTTTCCCCCTCCTCTCCTGCCAAAAACATTCAAAAAATTCCCCAGCATATTTCCACGCATACATTTTTTTCTAAGCTTGACAGAGTCTACCACTCCTTAGTTCTTTTGAACTTCCTCATTTTGTGCAGATAAAACAATTCAAGGACCTTCCATCATCTATACAAGAGGTTATGCAAGCTGCTAGGTACCCAATTACTCCTAGTTCTCCTATAACTGCAGAATTACATCGTACTTATTTAACAGATTCAATTGAAATGAACATTGAAAATCACTACGTATAAAAATGTTACAAATCCTTTCTTAAACATTTAGAGGTAAATTTAACGGTGAGATGAGCTTGTTGCTCCAAATGAAAACTATAGGAATACCAAGAATTTGGCACTGTGCACAGGATTTTAATTGTGTACAGCATTGCCAAAAGAAAGCTACTTTATATTCAGATACAAATCTGCAACGGCAATGGTTGTAATATATTACTGCTAACATCATGTAGAGCTATATGCAAGAAGGTAAGGATAAAGACCAGATGTCACTGAAAGTGAAATTAAGCAATGGGTCACTGGGCGGAGGAATAGAAATTCATGACTTTTTATAGCTTTTGGTCAGTTAACAGCCTACCTCCATTACATTGTCCCTCATAACCATCTCCAGAACTAATAAAACAGAGTGTACAGTTATGGGAACTCAAAGACCACCAGCTATAATTTCAGGAGTGCCAGCTCTAATGCAGAAAATACCTACCTGGGGTTATTCTTTAATGTGTTAATGAGAAACTCATGCAAATCTATGCCTGTTGAGTCTGTATACTCTTGACTGCAATCTGAAAAATAAAAACAAACACCCCCCCCACTCATTTATTTCATTTCAAGAGTTACGATTAAGCTATGCTACAAATCAAAATCCATTTTCCAGCAACAATCTGAAAGCTATGCTCTGAAAGAAAATGTTCATTTGGAGTTCAGCCAAGAAAGATCTATGCTCAGAAGTATTGGGTGGACGTTCATGGTTCCTCCGTACTGTTTTACTGAGAACGCAGCACCAAAACTAGACACCAACAGAAACTGCTGGTCATTTGAAAATCATGGGAAACGTTCAATGCCACTCAAGACCCTGGGAAGTTCTTTCTTTAAACTACTAAAAAAAATTTAAAAAAAAAAAAAAAAAGAAAAGATAAGTTTTATTCATCAATGTCTCTTTGCATCACTTAATATGTGCTGTACACATAGCAAATGAGGCATCGTGCCAGTGGGAATTCTATTTGCATTAACAGACTGAAATCCAGTGACGCCCGAGAGTGGGCAGGTAATAGGGATGCGTGACAGTAGTCAGAATTAATTTTTCAGCGTTGCTATATCGCCTGACTCAAAAGTACACACAGATCCTCAAGCTGGCGTGAACTGTGAGAGCTCCATTGAAGCCAACTGACAATTCACACCAGCTGCGGATCCACACCCAGGTAGGCAATGATTATTTTTGAGAGATTACGCTGCAACTTTATATCATGGATTAATAAAAAGATTAAAAAAAAAAAAAAAATTTAGATACAAGATCTTTCCTGAAGAAGTCTTAGTAGATGATAATAGTAGATTGCAATGCAGGTTGAAGGTCATGGATGGATTTCCTTACCGCATTTGAGAGAAATTCTCCATGAGAGAGGAGCAATAGTGAAGAGGATTACTCTCTACTGCCTACATTGCACAAGTGACATGCCAATGTATTATCATTAATGGGGAAAAAACCTGTATTAGAGTCTTACGCTTATCTTATTATATAATCACACATATATTTACATATATATGTGTTTATACCAACACGGTTAAGGATTCAGAAGAATGATTTTACATTAAAGAAAACTAATAACCCTCTAATACCAAACCTCAGTTTGGAAGGTTTCTTCACTTTCAAAGCTTGATGTTTGTATGAAAAACACTCTCATGCATACACATTTCAGGTTCTGAATTTTCTCAATGTACGAAAACACTTCTACTGTGTATTTATACACAAATAAAGAAATGCATGCTTATAAAAACATACAATGCTTTTTATAACAGTAATTATAGCAATTTAAATATTTTAAAGTTCACCTTTTGATAACATTCTGATCTTGTTTTTTTCACTGTTTTTATCTTTTTCTTTATTTTTATCCTTCTCTTTTTCTTTCTCGGAGTCATCTTTACTAGATTTATCTTCTTCTTGCAAGCTAGGAAAACATGAAAGCTGTAGTTGGATTGATTCCTGTTGAGAAAAAAAGAAAGATAAATTTAGGGCCAGATTCAGTAAGCTTCCCATGGCTTCCAACCTGCAGAGATTTGCATTAAACTATGTGTAGCTAGAAAAGCTGAAGCCAGATACATTTCTTTCCTATTTGAAAAATGTTTTTTTTTTCCAGGAGAATGACGACATCTTAGAAGCCAAATGCTAGTGGTAAGTGTATTTCTTCCCTAATATTTGAATACTATAAACTTTTATTCTACCTACATTAAAGGCACTGTATTATTCTACACTTCAGTAATTCTCACTTAAGACTTATTAGACCAGTGAAATACATTTTATGTGGGCTTTCTTAAGTAATTCAATAATTTAATCAATACTACACATGTTAAATGATGATTGATTGATAGATGTCCAAAACGCTTTTCCTCTCACTAAAAAATCCTGCAGGTTCATATGAACTGTTCTGCACATGTAAGCGCAGTATCAGCAAGACTGAGCTTTCAGGCTCTGATAGTAGAAGAGTGCCAGTAAATTATAAACTCAGTTGTATAGAAGAGGGCTTATCAGGTACTTTATATGCAAACATGCCTTTAGCAAGAGGGGTGAAATGTGCACTGCGATTTTCAAACAAGTTGTGGTAAGTGAACTTCTCCAAGGCATCACAAGTTTTATCCTCAAGAATTCAGTATTTCAGAGACCATGAATTCCTTTGAAAGCATGCTTCAGCTTTAAAAACTTCGTTAAAACTGAGAATTCAAGCTGGTTTGTGTTTTCCAATTTGCTTTGAAGAACTTGTTATTTCCCACTTACAACATTAGTTTATACTGGCTTTGTTTTAACAAAACACAAATTGTTTTCTTTTGAAGTTACCATGGCATAATGTATATGTTTCAAGAAATACCAATCTGGTTGGACAAAACTGAAGGAAGCATAATTCTGTGTTCATATTCTTTTGAAGAAAAAATGGCCAAAATACTACTATATGCTTAAGTAGTGTAAAAATGCACATTTGAATTAAGCTGTCACAAAACTCCCTGGTAACGCAGTTTTCTTTAACAGAAGAGAGCCCTGCATGCCTGATAATTTTTTGGCATCATGTTAATGAAAACCAAACTCACCAATACTGGAGAAATCAGAGTTTCTTGAATGCTAGTAAATTCCCTTCCTTCAAAATTTTTCTAAGAATACTAGCATACCAAAAGATCAACACAAAACTTTAAAGTAAGGGGTGTTTTTTTTTTAAGTAACCAGACCATTATGAATTCAAAAGATCCTTTCAATACTTATTACAAATTTTAGGTTTCTGAATTTTTTAAAGAACTACAAATCAGCCACCACAACACATGTAAGACAAGATCCTAACAGAACAAGGTATCAGCATAACATGCCACAGTAAGACAGCAATTGGGTAATTTCTCAGCTTAATCATTACCGACTTTTTGTGAAGTTCGAATGTGGCACAAGAGACTTGAGATGAAAAGCACTGTAAAAGAGAAACAAAGCCCTAGAGCCAAAATTTAACCTGAACTACCATCCTTAATCTCTACTTCTGTTAGTTTTGGCTGACAGTATTAGCCAAGAACGTACAGTTTAGTGGGAACTCCTGGTCATTTGAGGTAAGGATACATAGAAAAATGTTTGCTAACCTGCTCAGTTGCACTCAGAGGACTAACGTTATGCCTGCTTTCCTTCACTTCAAATGGCAATTTGATTTCTCATTCAAACAACAAACTTTGGATCAACCATTGCCAGAAGACCCTGAAGGATAACTCTGATTCCCTGCACTGCCCGGAGCAGAGCGACTCTGTCGCTGGCTTTTCAAAACAGGAGAAAAATGTAACTGGCCATGCTGTTCCCAGGATATCAATCCTAACCCTCACAGTGGTTGTTAAAATGCACTTATGGAAAGAAAAATGACAGACTTTACACATAAGCAGACGCATGAACATACAGTAGATACCATCTTACATATAACATAATACTTATATACTTGCACTAGAAGAAACACACAAAAGGGCTGTAGAGTCGTGAAAGCAAGCTACTGTGTATTTTCTTAGATTTTTATTGATTTTTCTCAATAATAAAATACAGTGTTAATAAATACATTGATACAAGTTAAGTATAGTGAACAACAAAATAAATGTTCAAATTGCAATAATACACTTCTTGGTCAATAGTATAACATTAAAGGCAACATTCCTTTTAAGTAAGGACATAGTGAACCATCAGGTAAGCGTTCAAGATCAAGTAATACAGGTAAACAAGTTTTTTCCCTATACAGGAAAAGGAAGGCAAGTATTCAAATATAAATACAAACATCAAGTCTGCAGTACAATCCATACTCAGTAGTTCTGGCAATGTACCATACATTCTCTGGTAATTAATTCCCTGTGCTTTGTAAACCATTAAGATAAAATAATAATTAAAAAAAAAAAATTCCAAACCGAAAATAACCTTTTTCTCCTCTAAAGTGAAAGCAAAGCAACTCAGTTGGCACAAAACTTCCTGTATCCGTCAGCCAGCCCAAGGAGGAGCCTGCAGGTCCAGCTTTCCATGGCAAAGCTGAGCCGCATGCATTAGTAAAAGGTCAGTGACAGCAAAAGTGCAATTCCTATCTAATTAATTACACCAAGCCAATTGTGTCTTTAGGAAATGGATGCTGGGGTCCAGGGAGGCATTTTATCTCCCATAAATGTTTTGATATGGTCAAAGAAATCTTTGCCGCGGCTGGTCAAAGTCAGGTAAGACCAGAGGCTGTGCGTAACAGGAACCCCTCCTCTGCCTGGCGTCGGGGTGCAATCTGGACAGAGATTTTACCTCAAAACCTGCCAGTCTCTCTGACGTTTAATACAGGTCCTGTGCAGTACATTATAAACTACCATGCGATGCTCGGTACAATCTCTTTATATTATTCTCCTTTTCATTCTCCATTAAACAATAGAAAATACAAATGAAAGCAGAACAAAAGCCACACATCTTGAGTAACGCAAGTTAAGCAGAAAGCGTATACCTACAACAGAACAACTAATAAAATAACCTGCCCACCTACTGCATAAGCATCATTGTAGAGCAGTAGAACATGTAGTCGTCCCCCTGCTAAACAACCTGGGTTTTGGCGTTTTAAAAAAAATCTAAAAAAAAAAAAAAATAGAAAAAACTCTCCATACTTAAGAGCTAAGAGGAGAGCTGGATTTGTTTTGTTTCAAGTCAATAGAGGAAACGGTGAGAAAGTACACTTAAATGTGATTTTTTGTTTTTGTGCTAAGCTCACAAGAAGTCACTTGCTCAAGCTCTCTCGATGGCTGATCTCATTTACGCATAAACATCTCATAAATTACAGGCAATGCTCATGATGTTTTGATTTTGTTTTTTTTTAAGCCTTGCTCTCACCAGGCAAACGAAGAAGAGTATCTGAGGTTTTTACTTCTGCTTTTTGGAGTATTTTTTGAAGTTACTCTGCAAAGACTGCCACCAGTGTTATTGTTTGAGGTGAGGGGTGCAGGGGACAGAGCTCTACCAGGTGCTGGGAATACAACACTACCAGTACAGATAAACTCAAATACACGCTTTTCGATACTGGAAAATCTACACCAAGAGTTTAGAAAACAAATGCCATTCAGTAGGAGGCATCCTTGGCTCTACCAAGGTATTTTAGAGAGCGAAGGACCTGTGAATTTTATGTGAAGGGGGACACTGATATGAACTGGAATCTCAAAGGAACCAGAAACCAGAGTATATTCATAACTGTATCTGGTGCAGCCTCGAAAGAGATAGCCTTAGAGAAAAGAACATATTAATATTCTTTCTGATTGTTACTATTTTTTTTAATTTTAAAATCTGAATTCTTTTGAATTCTTTTCCATTTGCTGAAATTTTCAGGGGGTCTGGAAAAAAAAGCAAACAACACCCTGTGATATAGTATAAAACTAATATATCAAAATAAAGTTCACGCTAAACCAGATAACTTCATAAAAACGTGTTCATTGTTGGATGTAATTTTTCCCCCAAGAAAGACACTGTTAAATGCCCAATTAAGTAACATAATCATGCAACTGAACATGGAGGTCAACCATGCAGATAACAGCAATGATTGCAAGTGTACCTGATTATCATGAATATTTTCCGCTCCCGGGCGAGGGGATGACTCTTCACACACAGCAAGACTCCGGACAAGTTTTCCTTTAGCTCCTGACTGAGTAAGAGAGAGAGAAAACAAAACGGAGAACACTACTACTGACCCCAAGTCACATAAGCTGCACACATCAGCTGTCCCTAAATATCCCAAATAACTACTACCCACCCAGCCAGCAAAATTGTATCTGCCTTCGATGAGGATAGAAAAGGATTCTAAGCAACGAGCCATCTGCCACAGAGGGGAGGTGGTAGGTTTCTTTTTGCTTTTAATCATTTCTGCTACAGTTCACTTGCTTCCACCAAAAATCGTAACAGCAAAGAATAGACAATTCAATACTGAAGGTAATTTAACATAAAGTTAAACTCAATGGTTCCTTCTGTCATTTGGTTTTGGGTGGTTTTATTTGTTCACCCCTTCTTCTAGAGGCATTATATCCAAGGTACACAGACAATAAAATGTGCAAATTTTATGGATCTGCACTTGGAAAATTAAAAGAAGGTTTTGGGGTTGGTTTTTTTTTGTTCCTAGAAGCTCCTTTTTTTCCCCTGCTTAGGGAGCTAGTCAGCCTCTGCTTCTTTATGTCAAGATTAGTCCATTAAAATAAAATTCAAACAAAAACATTAATTACTAAAGCAAAAGGAACGAACTTTTTCCTTCTCCAGGGGCGCACACAAGCGCACATGCTAACACAAGCACACAGCAAGCTCAGCAGCATAAAAGTATGATGGATACATAAAGGGGAGCCTGACGCATTTTATGTAGAGGAAGCCCTCTGCCTTTGTGCAACAAGGTTACGGGGTAAGGGAGAGAAAAAAAAACCACCACAAACAAAAAAACCCCAACCACCACACAAGTGATGAAAGGCCATCATTTCAATTGCAGACAGACATTTGATTGAAATTCTTTCTCCTACCACGGCATGCAATTCCAAACAGAGATGGACCCTTACCTTGGATCTCTTTTTCTGCTGGTTCTGATTTGCACCTCGTTTCTGGGTATAGCAAAAAAGAGAAGCAGTTACCACTTCAGTGGAAAATGTGCATGACAAGAGCATTACCAATAAATAAAGAGACTAAATCATTCCTAAATGATATTTTAATCAGTTGCTGACTGCAAAAACAACTTCCCCAAACCCAGTCCGGAAAGCAGGAAAAACCAAGAATCATCTCTGTTCACTTTACTCATTTTAAGAACAGGTATAAACAACAAAAACATACTTCAGTGTTCTGTAATTTTGCATATAATAAAAATGTACAAAAAGGCATACTTAAGTAAATGCTCCCCCCTCCAAATTCCTCTTAAATTGTAGTCTCCCCCTTTATTTTTATATTCCATTGAGCAAAAAGGATTAAAACCCCCTCATCCGATAAAGTCTTCTTATCAAATTACCTTCTTAGGCTTTGCATAACAACTTTTTGTTGGCAGTAACACCTACAAACCAAACCACACATTAAGTAATTATTCATTAGTATTACCTGTAAATTCATGAGATCAAGGTAGTTTTCTAAATCCCCAAAGAGGGAAAACAGTCAAATATTTCACCAAGCTTTAACACAGACGTCTAGGAATTAACTTCTCAGAAAAATTAATAACACGGACAGCAGCCTAAAGAGCTTGAAAGGTATAACAAATAACAGCATTTATTTTATAGGGAGATAAGAGGACTCAAAATTAAAAAAAAAAAAGAAAGAAAGACAGAAAGAGAAAGACTCTCAAAACTATGAGAGAAAAAAATAGGGGAAGCGTAGGCAATGAAAGAGATCATAGAAATGGAAAGGCAATGGTAACACATTGATATTTAACACACCCATTCACTATTCCTGTCTTACCTGCAGCTCTGTCTTGGCATCGCTCAGCTTCTCCTCCTTCTCCTCTACTTCCGAGCTTTCAGATTTATTAAGGATACAGTTGTCCGGGTTCACTTCAGAGATGGCAGTCTCCTGCTCTTTCGCAGCTTCCTCTGCTGTCTCCTGGTTCAATTTACCTTGCTCAGACATTCTTCCAGACAGAAATTAAAATAACAAGATTTGGTGACCTGAAAGGTCAAGATATCACGACACAAACACACACACAAAAAAACACTGGGGGTGAATTTTTTTTTTTTTTTTTTTTTAAATTCCCAAGTAAGCCATTTCATTTCTTTTGATAAACAAACCAAAATATGCAGCTCAGGAGTGGAAAGCTATGTATGTCCCAGCTGAAGAGATGTACTGAATTGACAGTATTGGATAACAGCAGAATTGTGTCAGGTTAAACAAGCAGAGCTCTGATCTAATCAGTCTTGGTGGAAAACAGATTTAAGGTGAGGTGCTGCGGCTCCCCAGCCCTGTCTCTCCCAGCCCAGCCCCGGGAGTGCAGAGGTGCGGCACGGACGGTGAGGGACTCTCCACTACAGAGCTCAGTGGCACCAGGCAGGAAAGACCCATTCAGACTTCCAGGTCTCTGGCACCTCAGCGCTCCCCTCCTCTAGGTTCTCCCCCCACACACACTTTTTTTAATTTTCTTTTTTTTTTTTTTAATAAAAAAAGAAGAGCAAAACAAACAAAACAGAAAAAAACCCCAAGTGTGAGCAGCAACACTGGTTTTAGCACTCAACCATGTTTTTTGTACATTGCAGAAGCTCATGGTGCTCACTACCAGTTTAAAAAAAAAAAGGGAAAAATTTGAAGAGGTAATAATTCAATATAAATATGAAATCTAAATTTGGCAATAAAGCTCTCAGGGTCCACGTTTTCAGGCATCAAACTGACAGCTCCATTATTAAAATCCTAAGCCTCTTCCCAAACCCCATGTCACTCTCCAGCACTATGAAAATCCTACAGGAAGCCCTTGGCAGGTATTTCTAATGAAGATATCTTAACTGAACTGCATTTACTCTCAGCTCACAATGGGTTGTTGTACAGAAGCTTTAAAGGCTTTTCAAAGTTAAAGCCTATTATTATTTTCTCTCTCTTTCTCTCTCTCGCCCCCCAGCTCCCTCTTGAAGCCTCCCCCACTGATCAATTGTCAGATGAGACTCATGAATAATTTAACTTTTCTTTCCCCATCCATTTGGATTCAGAAGTATCTTCAGGAAAAACAACTGCAGTTGAGAAAGGGAGTTATTTCAGAAAGCATCTTTTGCAATACCTTGCTACTTCTCAACAATGAAACAGTGGCTATTAAGCAAAACCACACTTTGCCATGTTTCTTTTTACAGTTTGTAATTAACATTAAATAGATCTGATACCACTTACCTTCTTTTTTTTAAGCTATGTTTTAAGTAAAAAGTAAGACCTCCTGAGTTTTAAAAACTTACTCCTTCCAATTTTTGCTTTTGTTTTGACACTGTAAGCAAATACAATAATAAAACCTGTCCTACAAAATCTTCCCATTTGAGAAGGACTGTGGATTTCACAAGAAATAAAGCTACACCGTTCATAAATAAACCGACTGGAATATGAAGCTCACAAATTAGCTCACAGTAAGGCAATTCAAGGTTTGGGTTGTTCTCCTTCCTCCCACTGCCCTCCCCAGGAAGTCCCATAGTATTGACTATTCTGCAGTTACAACTGAAACTTGAAGCATTTCGCTAAAAATTCAAAAGACGATGAATGGTGAGACCTGAAACTGATCTGCTAAGCAACCCTTAATTTGTTAAGGAGTTACATCAAGAAATGCACACACATGCACAAGTTCTTCATGGGCATATTACCCCCGCAGCTCATCTACATGCTTACACAGTCTTCACAAAACCAATTACACTCATAGTTTATCAGCTGCACCAAAGAAGCCATTTACCTGAAAAACTGCTATAATTCCCACTGTCTTTCTAGCGTCTTCTGTTGCTCTTTGCTGGTTAAGTCCACACAAATGATCAATGACAACGTGAGTCCCATGTCCCCATTAACAGTTCAGAGTGCCAATTTCCATGCTGGTCCTTCAGAGACTTTGATGGATCATAGTCAACCTGGAAAAAGATGAAAAGTAAATAATAACAACAGTAATGATCATGGTACAAGTTAAGGATGCAATAGATAGGACCAGATTTCTAACACTAATGACCAGCTTCAAGCAAATCACTTTCGCAGCTTGATCCAGCTCCACCTGTCTCAAAACTGCTTGCTTCTTCTCTAATGAAGGCTAGAGCCGGCTGTTCAAGTCATAACAGCTCCTACGCAAGGAGCTAAAATTAACAATTGCATTATGCACTGAAGATTACTCACTTCAATTTTAACCTTTTTTAGTGAATTCCAGCACTTTTCATTAAAAAAAACCCATATATACATATTTATATATAAGCTCATCTGTTTGCTTCAACAGAAATCAATGAGGGTATGAGGAGAAAGGACTTGCCTGCTTTTTAACTACGGCTTCTGCTCCAATTAAAATTTTGATAGTCAAACACTATTGAAAAAGAAGCTAGGTGGGTGCTTTTAGAAAGTGACCTCCTTTGCCAGGGTAGTGAATCGAGATGTTAATTTAAATAAGTCGAATAAAAGTTGGGAGGAGGAGAAGGAAGAAATCCTATTCCCTGAACAACGGCCACCAGAAAAACTTTCTTTTGAGGCACTGTATGAGGAAGAAAAAGGAGATCTCTTTACAGTTCGGAAAATAAACTTGAAGAAAGAGTTGCCTCAGCAATGCAATTTATGCTGTTCATCAGGATTGTGTTTGCCAGCTGAATAGCTGATCTGACAGAAAAGGAGCATTTTGGGATGAGTCGGACTGATTTACAAGCCATGGCCGTGTGCCGAACTGTCTTGATATAACAAGCAAGGCTTCTTAAGGCTTGCACGTGAATCACGGTTGAAGCAGTTGTTGCAAATACAAAACAACAGCAAATAGGAGGAAAGGTATCATTCTACTCGAGGGGAAAAAAAAAAAAAGCTGAAAATCATCTCACTCTAATATTAGACCCCTTGTTTCTGAGGCACATTTTAAATTGCGCATGGATGCAACTGCTGTACAGTACGTGGCAGCGCACTGGAACTCACCACATTAAAAGAGCTGAATTTTATGTGCCAGGAATGGAATTTAGCCTTTCACAAAAATCAAGTCCTGCTCTCTCCGGGAGCTCAGGCACACAGAGGAGACCAGCAGGCAGTTCTATAAATTACTGCTGCCAGCCTGCAATTTTATATACATAAAAATATTTCTTTTCCTCAAACCACTTAATAATTTGTACAGAGTAACAAAAAGTACGTCTGTACGGAGTAGTACAAAGTAACTCTTCCCACGCGCTTTTTGGTATTTCTCACAGTACAAATTCAGAAATTTTATCTCATTGACAAACATACTTATAGGATCACGATGGGAGTGGAGAAACAATATGGAAAATTATGCCTAAGCATTCAAGCACATACAAATGTATTTCACAGAGCCAATACTCAGAGAGAAAAGAGTGAATAAACCACTGACTGAAAAACCTTTCCTCGTAACCATCTTCCATTAACCCTTTCCCTCACACTTCTGAAAGAGAGAGGGGGAGGGGAATAATCAACAAAAACCAAAAAAAACCAAAAAACCCAAGGAAATACAGTGCATTACAGTTTCACCCGGAAAACAGCCAGCCAGGGGATAGACCATTGCAATCAAAACCCTCCAAAACTAACTGAAAAATACGTATCTGTACCGAAATCAGGACATAAAAAATTATTTCAGGATTCTTCAGTGTTACCATGTGTTGTGAATTAACTGTTCATAAGACAAACAAACAGAGCAAAACAAAAATCAGACAACAAACCAACCAACCAAAGAGTATCATATCCAGCAAGTAAAGAGATCTGCCAAGACTCCAATAAACAGCATTTCTGGTCTTGTGCCACAGATGCTCAACATAATCTTATCATGCTTTACCAAAGACATATATCTCCACAAACTGAGTTACCCATATTGTTACACTTAAAATCTCTGATGCCAACATCATTTTTCATTGGCAATGTATGAGAAGACCATAGAATCTCAAATTAAAACAACAAAAAAACCCCATAAATTTCCCCAAGAAAACATAAGCAAATGGAAAATAAGCTTACAGTGTGCAGCTACCATTTTTCAAACCTGCAATGACAATGTTTCTTAGGATGATTTTTTCAAAAAACCCTTCATAATTATCTTCTGGGGGCAGGGGAAGGGGGGGAAAAACCTGAGTCGTACAGCAGTCACAATCAAGCTCTTCACCTTCCCTCAATGTTCCTCCTCCTCCTCCATTAGGCAATTTACAAGTGATGACTAATCATTTACATACTACAATACGTAAAATACACATCTGGTTGTTTGGGTGGGTTTTCAAAGGGACTCGGTTTCTATAAAATACTTCAGGGAGAGTATAAATAGCAAAAAGGAATCAGTCAGAAAATAGCCATTAAGAGTGAGACATTTTGATTGAAAAAATACGTCTCCGTTTCTCACGTGTTTCCAGGATATCTGGTTATTCAATGATGAATGCACTTTTTGCTATTGTCATTCCTGCAGTGGCAGCACTGCTATGGAAAAACATACTGGATTATTCTTTCTCGCACATCAACAGAAATGTCAGCAATGATTTGACTTGTCAAAACCTTCAGTAACGAAGTGACGCAAAAGGCTGAACAAATGCACTTGTGTTTTTGATCCTCAGGTAGAAACCGCAAAGCTTGTTGCTAGGCAAAACCCACCTTCTTTATTTGCAAGCGAGCAAAATTTCATTGGGGTGTTGGGATCTTAGAAGCGGTCTACAGGAGCTTGTGGCAAAATTTCAGCGTCTAATTCCTTAAAGCAACTTGAGTATCGCACACCACAATGCAACAGAAAATACAGATGCCCACCAAGCCATTTGTAGAACCACTTTAATAGAAATATAATCTGTTTGTACAGAATTTGTAAGCACCAGCTGATCAGTATACACTGTGGGATGGAAATGCTGGGTTTTTTCTTAAATTGCTTTCTTTATTAACAGGATTTTCACTTTAGAAGCTGAGGGTACTATCGAGCTTGAGCAGCTACTGCCAGAACTCGAAGAGAAAGGCATGGAAGAAGGTGCATACGTACGTTCGTACAACACATACCACGCAGATTCCAAGAAAAGTCTGTGGGAAGGAATACACTTAATTTAATGCAAGAGTTTAAAAACTATACCCAGAAGAAGAGCTGTCAAAAAAGCATAGAAGAGAAAAAATGAGCAAAGACATTAGAACACACTCCTCAATGAACATCTGACAGCTGACCATCACCTGAAATTAAACAGAGACACATCTGACAAAACCCTAAGAGCCCACCACAGGAGAGTAAGCCCTTTCTGTATTGCATATCAGGAAATGTTTTGATGATCTCAAAGGTATCACATACTGAAACAGGAATTTTGAGATCCTTATGCTCCCAGTAAGTATCAGCATGTCCTCTCTCAGAAGAGAAGATGAGCAGGCTTTAAGGCCAAAGAGCACACTCTTAACCAAGAGTCGGCAGCAGCAGCTGGCAGGATTGAACCCTGCCAGAGTGAAACCCAAGGGTTTTTTCTTCAAATAAAGCTGCTAAGCATAGATGCAAAATCATTTGAGCCCAAACGGCTCCTGTAACTGAAAACTGGATAATGTTGGTGGTACCTACACGTCAGGATCCTTCTCATCTCATAGTGATTCTCCACTCGCATGAATGGCTCGCAGGTACGAGCCCATGAACCGGAAGCAGAGATGTCAGTCATTATCTCCACTATGTGATATATACCTCATCCATACGTATAAAGCTATGCTAATACACAGCAGCAAATAATGAGTCAAAGCTAACCAACATCAGATTCCTGGAAACCACTGGAAATGGACTAAGGCATAAGATTATCAGTACACACAGCCCTCAATGTTGCCAAACTCTCATGGCTTAAAACATAAACTTCCTGTTATTTGACATTTACTTAAAAATTCCAGTTCCTACCATCAAGCAAATCTATGAAAATCTCAGGTTTTACACTGAAAACAAAAGCTTCAACTCTCTGTGGTGGCTTCAAAGAAAATCTTCAGGATATAAAACCTATTATTCAAAAAAACCCCAAACAAACCAAAAAAAAAACCAACACCAACCCCACCACCAAACCCAAAAAAGGCAAGTAAAATATATCCTAGAGTTTTAGTTTGAACACACTACTACTCAGTTGTCAGTCCTAGTCTTCAGGACCTACATCATTAGACAGGCGGTACTGTGTGCTCCTTCTCACTGTTTTTCCACATTTCCCACAGAAATACATGTATGCACTTGGAAGCCAAGTTTGCTGCTGCGTATTAGCATAGCAGGATAATAATCCATGCCACCTCTCACACCAAAATGCTTTAGTATGAAAAAAAAAATTAAAAATAAAATAAAAATTAAGGCTGTGAAATACATGGAATCCTACAAGTTCACTGGTTGTTAAAAGACAGAAGACTAAACCTTAAAAAACAAGGGCAAAAAATATTTTTAAAGAAAATGTTTGAAGCCTTATTTTATTTCCCACCTCCTCTTGTCTTCACTTTGTCCCCTCTCGATCATCACTACAACAACAGATACAGTGATTGCCTACATTTTCTGCTCCTACGTGCCACAGACGTTTGCAGTTAAAAGGTTATTTAGACTCACTTACTGTTGGCAGAGACTGTCAGTTAGCAGATGCAATTTTTTTTTCCCCAGGAGTTGTAGGAACATGAGCATCTGCGTACAAGCGACAGCACAGAGGCCACTGACCCACCTTAAGCAGGCCAGCAAACACCAATCGGTGGCAATGCTGGTCAAATTTGATGAAAACAGGATGGATCGAAATATATTGGATCAGATTTCAGATCCTATGCAACAACCGGTTGTCTTTTCAGAGAGGTGACTAGATGATATGAGGAGCAGCATCCCAGCTGAGGCCTCTGGCATTCCTCTCAACCTGCATGTGAAACCCTGTATTTACAAATTACAGCAGGGATGAGAACAGTCTAACAACCAAAAAAAACCAGAAACAAAGCCATTTTTTGTGGTTTACAACCTAATTCCTTTCTTCAAATGGGTCTTCTTGTTCCTAATGGATTGCCACCAATATTCTCCACTTTAATCCCCTGTCAGAAGACCTCACGTCAATGTCACCATCTTCAGCCAAGTAATAATGATGATGTTGTTCCCTCTAGCTTGTTATATTTCTGCAAAGCT